TCAAGGTTTATTTTCAGTTTATTTTCGGAATGCCTCATTTCCACTTTTAGCTTTCTGACCCACGTGTGATAACGTCCTGAGTGTATAAGATGTACATGAGACATAAATGAATGTTGCATTTAGACTTGGGTCCTATCTCCAAAATCTATCATGTATGGATATACAAATACAGGTATTCTAAAATCCAAAAATTAATAAATAATAAATAAATAAATAAATCCAAAATCTAAAACATTTATGGTCACAAGCATTTTGGGTAAGAGAGACTCATCCTGTGTATTTGCTGATTTTAATTTGCATATGTGATTCCTGCACTGACTCTACAAGGCTGGAGTTTACTTGGTTTGGCTTTTCTTAAGCTCTTACTTCTCTATGGCTGATTCCATTGTTATCCTTCAAGAGGTAAAGGATAGGCATGAAGTTTCAGAAAACCCATATCATATTGTCTCTATGACAATGTTACACAAGCTGTTGAGGGTGCCAAGATCTACCAACAGAAAACCATATAAGTAGTCAATCAAAACTTTGGCTTTGAAACTGGCTTCTTTTATCTGTGCTTTAAGGATGTAGACTGGCTTTCTCCATTTTTGCTCCAGATAAATATGTCATGGAAATACCACAATAACTGGAAACATCTGGTTTGCTTATTTTTTTAAAAAAAAATAAAAAATAAAGATACCATAGGAAGAGCCATCATTTTTTATTACAAAAGAAGTGTTATGTGCTCTCAAGTCATCCCTAACTTATGGTGACCCTAAAGCAAGCTATGATGGGGTTATCTGGGGATGAGTGTGTGACTTGCCCAAGGTCATCCAGTCAGTTTCCACAGCTGAGTAAGGAATCGAAGCCTGGTTTTCAGAGTCGTAGCCCAATGCTCAAACAACTACACCACGTTGGCTCTCACAGAAGCAATGCAAGGTGAAAGAGAATGCCCATTCCTTTCCCTCCACAACTTTTTCCAAAACTGATCTATAATCACATGCTGGAACTACTAGCTTGGCACCAAAATACAGGCACAATGAGACACCTATACTTTCCCCTACAGTGGCACAAACTTCATCTTAGTGAAAGGGCATCTTAATTTGGAACAAGACCTAACTAACCATTATTTTCCCCAACATTTCTCTAATCAAAAGCACTGCTTGCTTCTCCAGCTAAAGGTTGTTTTAAAAATCAGCAAACCAGTCACAGATCTCCTATGTAAGATCTGTTTTGAGACACAGATAGATGCTAAGGGGAAATTACATGCAATATCTCTTTTTGTTTGTTTGTTTTTACAGAACTATCAAAGTGGTGGTGATACATGTAAAAAGGAAATATCCCCATAATGCAAGAAGATTTGGCTAGAATGAAGCCAGGCAAACAACTGATAGGGATTACACATCTTTAAGAAGAAATTATTTCTGCTTTTTCAGTCTTCTGTATTAATCATTCTTTCAACACCATAAAGCTTTCTATCTGTTGATCTGCAAGATAAACTTAAGTTAATTTGCACTTTCCTAATGTGGTTTTGGATGAGTTCAAAAAGAACATTACCTCTTGGAACTCTTTCGGAAAGTATTTTGGTATAGCAACAGTAGCAGCAACATTAGTGGCTTGGAGAACATTTGTCAGATCCAAACTTGACCTCAAAGATTCACCTTTATTCTCAGCTAGTTCAAACACTTTACTGAAGGCAGGAACTTTCATGATTCTTAATTTGTTCCTATGTAAACCTCTGACTCATTCACCACAGTATCAAGGCTTAGCAGTGTAAACCTTTTCCCCAGCTGAGGAATTTTGCTGTTCTCATCATTTTCTGGTCGCTTCAGGTCCTGTCCCTGGTTATTAACTTTGGCATTGCATAATAGCTATGTTGATGGCTGGGTCTGGGGAGTGGAAACCATACTTATTTATCCCATTGTCTGTCCCATTGTCTGTACTGAACAAATATTTCCGCTTCTCCCCATACCCATTCCCATGAATCTAACGTCTTTGCAATCGAAGAATCAAAATATTTTGCTGTAGTCAGGATGTGCATAGAAACTTTTACAGAGGCAGTTTTAGCAGTCTGTGAAGAAATATTTCAAAGCAGGGCTAGACATGTCATTCATGGCTTCAGGATTGCCTGTTTTAGTGGCCACATTGAGGTGGAGGGCAGGAGGACAGATGAAGGCAGTGATTGGTATCTGAGAGGTGCAACAGGTTCTTAAGTTTGGCTCAGAGTAGACATCATTTTGATGGTGCTCCACACAGCACAATGTTTGAGTCTTACAATGGACTTTATCACCTGGGAGGCAATCCCATGAATAAAGCACATTTAAACCCATCAATATCCCACAAGAGCAGGATGATTTT